TTATTTCTCTCATTGTAGATGGACCTTTAACCTAATCGATGCGTCGCGCAAGAAGTCGCGCGACAAATGATGCAATAAAATGGGATATTTTGGTCGATTAATCGTGACGCGACGGACGACGCGACGCGTGACGCGCTCAGTGGGAACGCATCCTTAATCTCAATCTTAATTTCAATCTTAATCTCAATCTCCAAATGCGTAGTCTGATACCGACTTAAGGCTTACAACACCTATTGTGTTTCGGGACTTAGAACGTACCACGAATTCTTTATTATCATTGGTAATTTCTGTTGGACGCCCCACAACTGCTACACAAGTTTGCACGACAGCGACGTGTTATGACAATTGTGGAACCACTCTAGACCGAGCTTCGTTCAAGGTTATCGAAGATAATCGTAAAAGGACCACGAGTATATCGCAGATATACATCGTATACACGTAGACTGCGAATCTTTGGCGCAGCCCGGTAAGACAGTTGACGACGGTATTCGTGTCTCTTGCGACATTTTCGAGCGTCTCACGCTACAATTCCGAGCTGCGATGCCGCGAGGTGAGTGACAACCCTTTCGCAAGTGCTCATTTCTGAACTTGTCTTTCCCCGGTTTTTCTTAAGATTTATCCCACGTCCCACTGTTTTCTTGACAAAAGAGAAATTTTTGTACTCTTTATTGGACGCTATCCACTTAGTGACACAAGTGGAACATTAAACGTCATTCTATCCTTCTTAGCATTTAGTGAGTAACAAAGATGAAATGACACTTGTGTCAGCTTGTGTGTCACTAAATGGAAAGCACCCATCGATTACCGATCGCTCTGTTTGTCACGCAGGAAAATTCGTGAATCATAAAGGCAGGAACAGGCACTTTACGAATCCAGAGGAGTTGGAGGAGCAACGGCGCCAAGAAGAGAAAAAGCAACAGTGGAGAGTTAGTATTTTTAGGTTAACTAACACGAGTGGCGAGGCTATTTAGGCTGCGTTCCATTTGGCGCTTACAGCTGATTACAGCGCTCACAAAATCATTTCATCCTTGTTGTTTATCAAATATTAAACAAAGACAAATGATGTTTATAAGCGCTGTAAGCACCAAAAGGAACGCAGCCTTAGTTCAGATACCGTATTTAGACGCGTGAACCCTTGCCGCTCAAGGCTGCGTTCAGAAACTTCGCCTAGATGCATCTAGATATCATTTTATCCTTGTTTAACATTCAGTAAATAACAAGGATAACATGATATATATCATGAATTCTTGAACGCAGCCTAGAATTCAACCTCTCGGCAACTAATTTTTAAAAATAAGAAAAACCAAGTGTTTGACAACTATGTTATAAAGTTAGATTATATAAATAATGTTATAAATGTTATTACGCCTAGATCTGTTTTCTTTAGAGCTAAATTAGTATACACTCAAAATGAAACAAAAGATATATACCTATTTAAAGTTTGACAAAAACAAGGTTTTAGTGCAGCAATAGAGAACAGATCTTCCTTCTCGTTGAACGAAAGAAGTAGGATATTTACAAAGACATAAATATATTTATTTAATTTCAATTTAATGTTTGTTATAGCATATACAATACGTATTATATTTTGTACATATATTTTATTCCTAAATTAAATTGATATCCTATTTATTTATAACTAATGTCAAATATTTAATATTTATGCCTTTGCAAATATTTTATTTCTTTCGTTCTATGAGAAGGAAGCTCTGTTCTTTATTGTTGCATTAAAATCTTATTGCCTTTGTCAAACTTTAAATATGTAGGTATCTGTTTTATTTTAAGTATGAGTGTATACTAATTTAGCTCTAAAGAAAATAGACCTAAGCATAATATTTGTGACATTATTTACATAAATTAACTTTATAACATATAGAAGTGTAAAGAGTACTAACAAGGAAAGGCTTCCAAGTGTAAATGTCGTAATAATGTTAAACCTGTACAGATCTGTTACATGGGAAACAAAAAAGTAAAATTTATTATTTATAAGTCCCACTTCTATAAGATAAGCAAAAACAAATATCAAGTATACTTAAATTTTTAGTATATGTATCATTAGTTACTTTGATCATGTTACTTTGTCAAGTTTTGTTTTTTAGCAAAATATAATTTAATTTTTCCAGTTATACTGCCATTTTGGAGAATTTTGAAATTTATAAATTAGATAAAAACGACTAAACTACTATAATATGGCAAACATACATTTAAAAGGTTGCGTTTCAATATATACTGAAAAATGAAAATGTTTCATGTCACATATTATAGATTTTCAGTGACATTGACGGTGTATTGGATTGGAGAAAACATAGGAAAAAATTACTAATAAAGTACTTATAATTAAATATAGTACAGTAAGCCTATTGGGAGCTAACTAACACGGATATTGGTGTGTATTAATTTTTATAATATCCAGCCAACACGCGAACTGCGCGCCGCATATTTGTTGGACTTGAAAACACAGTTTATTACTTATAATTAAAAAATAATAAAATTGTTATATATATAAATCATCTGATCTAATACATTGAATTTGAGAAAATTAAAATACAAGCATTTAATCAAATTTTGTTTAACAAATTATAGCAAATACTGTGAAAACTGAAAAAAAATAAATAATTTTTTTATTTATTATTTTAATTTAGCATTATTATGAGATTTATACTTGAGAGTTTTCCCTTGTAAGTAAATTTAGTTTTATTTTTAGGAGAAAATAAGCTATATTATAATGCTACGTTGATTTTATGCTGATGAAAGCTAAGCTAATTTAAAGTTTATCTTACAGAAAAATAAAGGACAGGAAAGTTCCAGTGAGGAAGAAGACGATGAGGAGCCTAAAACAAGTGGAATCAATAGGTCAAAGAATAGTGCCACAGATAGTGATAGTGAGTCAGAATCGGAATCGGAAACAGAGGTATATATACATGTGCATACATGAGATTAAAAAATATCGTTCGTCTACACTGCAGTTATATAAATAAAATGTTCTAATCTTTCATTGATTATTCTGTTCTTGTAGGGAAAGGCAAAAGGTGTAGAGAATTTAATTCAAGTAGAAAATCCAAACAGGGTACAAAAGAAAACGAAAAAATTGTCCCAATTGAATCAGTCGTTAGAGGCGAAACCTGAACTATCTCGAAGAGAGCGGTATGTATGCGATTACTTTGATCATAATCATAATTTTTTTTATATTGTATTTTGAAGATTATCTCTCAGATTATATCTTGTATATATTATTTGTCTCATCCTCGTCGTTAAAAATGTGACTTTCAGGGAACAATTGGAAAAACAAAGAGCCTACGCGAATTATCAAAAATTACATGCGGCCGGTAAAACGGATGAAGCTCGAGCGGATCTAGCGCGATTAGCGATAATTAAGCAGCAACGGGAAGAGGCGGCAAAGCGACGGGAGGAAGAGAAAAAGCAAAAGGAGATGGCGCAACAGAAGAAGACCGAGCTGACGCAAAAGGCGCTCGGGAAAAAGTCCTAGAACGTTCTGATTAGTTGCATGACTAATTGATCATCACAATATTATTTCGGAGATAAAATCCCGATTTTCAAATCTCGAAATTTGGTAAACCGATCCATATGTTTGCTATACACGTTTTATGATATGTTAATGTCATTGTTTATATAAATACAATGAATTAAATGCAATCTTTATAAGTGTCTGTTAGTTTTATTAATAACCTAAGTAAATGTATATATTTGAGTTTTTAAATATCAAGATTTTCACAATGAAGTAAATAATGTGTGATATAAGTACATGATAAATTTTACTCTACACTCTTGTATAACTTTACTTGATTGAAACTTGATTGGACTTCTACAACAGGTTTATTACCTATTAAGTGTATCCAGCTTGCTTTATATAGAAGCTACTTCATGAATGCTCAGTAAGCAACATATACTACATGTACAGTGCCCGCCAAAAGTTCCGGGCCACCTAAATAACTTTTGAATGGTTAGTAATATAGGATTGAAATTTATAGGGATACAATGGGACCACAAAGTCTATTATTGAACCACAAAAACACCCTTCTCCACA